GTGTTTGTGGATAACGGGCAGCGCTAACCTCATCATGCAGGTTCAGCCTGGTGAGGAGCTTTAACGCTCTCCTCGGAGTCACGCATCACGCTGATTTTATATTATTTTATTATTATTTTTAGTATTATTTTTCCGGTTACACGATGCATCAAACCATATCAAATGCGTTGTCTACTTAGAGTTAATGCGCACGGCCGTATGGAGATCTGAGAAACTCGTCCCATAAACTCGACCAACCAGAATAGTTTCTGTGACGCTTATTAAAAACTCAACAGACACGAAATGGAACAGCTACTAAAGCCACATTAGCCGCATTGAATTAAATCTCCTGTTTGTTGCGCATTTCTGCGTAGTGCAGTGGATTACCTCATCATGCAGGGCCGGTCCAAGGCTGTATGAGGCCTTGAGCAGACTTTGATTTAGGGGCCCCTCTTGCTGCTAAAAACATCAGCACCTCTAACAGCTTCTGTATTAGATTTAGTGAAATATGGGAGAATGTAGTTTAATTGGCCAGCCTAAAAAGCAATAATCGCAGTTTACTAATTTGTATTTGTAAATTCAAGGATTAAACTCACAGCATCAGATTGTTGCTGTGTTAACAAAACAATTAACTATGAATATTGTTCTTTGAAGTTTTACAAAGTAAACTTGCCATTAAAATCTTACATTTAAATATTTAACAATTTAAAATCTTTAAATATATGTATGCCTAAACAATTGAATCAAATTTAATCTCAATAAACAAGTGTTACATTTATGTATCTGTGGTCTGTTTTAAAATATTAGTGTTTCTGGGGCCCCTGAAGCTCTTGGGGGCCTGATGGAGCTGCTGACTTAATTTGGATTAAACAGAAGTGCAAATTTGTTGTTTTTAGACTAGTTGTGGATTTAAATAGCATTTCACTGGAGATGTTTTCCCATAATAGTAATACTTTTACATTTCCTTTCAACTTAACATCTTTTAATACAAAAATACGGTGGACCTCCTTGACGCCCCGACCACCGGGCTTAGCAAGTTTTCTGGGGGAAACCCTGGAGCGGATACAGGATGTACCCCAAAGTTTTACTCAAATAAGAGTAGCACTACTGCAACATGTTTTTACTCAAATAAAAGTGAAACGTATCCAAGAAATTACTCAAGTAAGAGTAAAAAGGTACTTGACAAAAAGTTGACTCAAGTTACTGAGTAACTGATCAAATGATCAATTATTTCATATTTAAAAATTACATAATCAAACAGATAAAAATTTAATTCAAGAGAAAATATTGGTATTTAGGGACAAATGACAATAATACATAATATAAGTAACAAAAAAATGACAATCAGGCAAAAGAAAATGTTTCCAAATCTGTTTCCTTCAATACAAAACATGTTTGTTTTTCATTCAGTGGGTAGACAACCCAGAAACTTTACTCAAGTAAGAGTAGCGATGTTTCCTAATAAAATTACTCAAATAAAAGTAAAGCATGCAGTGCAGTATAATGTGTTCTGGGTGTTTTGCAATGCCAGTTTACTACTAAAGCTTTTTGCAATTAGATCAAAAAATCAAATTTTGGTATTATCTAATGAGATTACTTCGCAATATTTGCTGCATATCCCTCATAACTAGAAACATTTAAAACGTGCAAGACATTAAATATCAAGGATTGCAATTATACACAGCAGTTAGGTACAAGCAGTTCGGTCGCTTGTACTTGAATAAAGGAGATCTGGTCTGAGGCGTATTTCCAATATCGGACAAAGTGTTAGCTTGCCTCGTTTCTTCTAAATACCTACAATTTTTATTTTTTAAATTAAAATTAGTGTCTTTTCGATTGTAAATATACAGTTTTTAGTGTAATCATGACAAATTCATGTTTCTAATAGTGGGTGAATACATTCATGCACTTGGGGTTTAAACGGGAAGTAAACAAAAGCTATCATTAGCAGCCCAAGAGAGTTAGCTAGCCGGTTAGCAGCGATAGTTAGCACGTTTTTATTTTATTTCGTTCAGTGAACTGACAGAAAAATACTCCATAAACTATTTTAGCACCAACAAAAACCTCAAATGAAACTGCTTTCTCACCCTGCTATAAGGAAAATGACCCTCAGCGGCTCCCGGGCGATGGTGAACAGGAACAGGGAGACGGCTGGGCCGAAGGCGATGAATGTGCAGCCGAAAAACACCGCTGCCGTCATGTTGGCTCGGTAGCTGGGAGGTCCAGTGGCTCCAAAACCCGGTTCGCTTCTGTTCACGAAACCGCAGGGGTTCGTCTTTATTTTTGACGAGGTAACTGCCTAGTCTGAGCGGTGATTCTTCTTCCTAATTTCACTTCGGTATCACAGGATTGTCATGACGTCACACTATCACGTGACTCGCTGTGGGGAAAATTCATTTCTTTTGTGCCTTTATTTAGAGACAGTAATATCAAAGGTTAAAAATTCATATATACACAGACACCTACCTTGCATTTCTATAAACAAGACAACATAAAAATCTATATCAGAATGTATATCAGAGAAAACTAATTCTCCATAACAATGTAGGTCAGTGTAAATAAGTGTTCACGAATTTGTTTTTGTTTTAGCCAATATTTCGTCCGGGAATCGAAAACTTTAAGATCAGTTTCTCATTTTATTCCTTAAGGTGAGATCTCTGTGTGCAGGTGAGGTTTTCTGAATCCGGTTACTTGGGACTGACCACCTGTCAGAGCTCGGGACAGTGGGCGTGGGAATACTGGTTCTTTTTACAGAACACCGGCTCTATTTGCTCCCCTGTGATGTGGAGGTGAATTGTTCCATGTGAACTTGGTTTTAGCGGGAACATCAACATGCAGCAGCCTTATCTAACGGTTCAACACCCCCCGCTGCACGGTGGACAAAGATTAAAAAATAAAAATGACTAAATAAAACATCATGAACAAAAATGTGATTGACAAAATAAGCTCCACATTTAAAACATTTTTTTAAATATTTAAACTTTTATTTCACAAGGAACATTTACATCAATAATATTCATTTATTTTAGAATGAAAGAGCTAAAAAATAAAGCATCCTAATTTAATTAATGTCAAACAAAAATTATGAAAATAAAATATCAAGAGTAATGATTAGAACCAGAATACCGAACCAGATAAAGCACTTGGCACTGCAATATTTCATATGCTGATGTATCATAAAATATTATATATTTTATTACAATAATAGGGGGGAATTGTGTTTAAAATTTGTAATATCTGATAACAGAATTTTCCGCCACAGAACTCATTGCCATCGAACATCAGACGTTATGGGGCAGCACAGTGAAAATATTTAGCTGTTCTAATTTTCCTTCGCCTCCCAGGTTGCAGTTTGAGCAGCTGCTTAATGTGAGAACCAGAAAAAGGAAAAAGATCCTCCAAGTTTAGACATGACAGCTGCTTGGAGGCTTTTTCTGGTCCATCAGCAGCCACTCCAAAACTATGAAACACCATCAAATAGTCAGGATCACTAACGCTCAGGAAAAAGATGACAGGAAATTCTCACCAATTGGAAGGAAAACACATAAAAATCATGTATAACTGAGGACTCACTCTGCATATTTAGTCATAAAGTAGGTTTTCCTCAAACTTTGCCCAAATGATTTAACTAAACTGAGCTAAATCAGTCGATGCTCCACTATTGTGCAGAGAAGAAATTCTTCAGATGTTTGTTTCAGGCTCAGCTGTTGCAGTCAACCTTTGGACCTTGATTTCAGACAACTGGCCCTGCCTCATCTCAAACACACACACACACACACACACACACACACACACACACACACACCAATGTTTGCGTGGCTAACCCTAACCCTAACCAAAACTCAATTCATACCTTAGCCCTTACTCTGACCCCTGACCCAAAAACTGAGTTTCCCCTTGTGGGGACCAGGCTTCGGTCCCCACAAGGAGCAGTTGGTCCCAACAACGTAGTATATGTCAGGAAAATAGTCCCCACAAGGTATTACAAACAAACGCGCGCGCGCGCACACACACACACACGCGTGCGCGCGCACTCACATACTCAGAACCCCACGTCTATAAAGACACCAGAAACCCGTGGAGGTTTAATTCATCTCTTTTTACACACAGACAGCAGGAAGGAATCAGCTGCAGGGAAGATGGCTGAGTAAGTCTCTGTTTAAGGATGACTGTCTTTGATTTAAAATAAACCCCGAAAATCTGTTCCAAAGCTTCACATTATCCGTTTTGTTTTGGAAGGAAGAAGATGCCACTGAGCCGCAGAAACCATCTCAAGGTATTTCTAATGTTGGTGTTAACAATCTGATTTTTACTTTTTTTTCAATTCATAATTAAATGTTTCAGTGTGTTATGGCCATTATAGGGAGAGACAAAGGAGGAGTAAGTTTCATAAAATTTTTGGCCCTTAAAATGCAGGAATTTAAAAGTTTTTCCCAGAAAATATTTGAGATTAATCTAAAAAAAAATTCTTATTTCTGTCTCAAATTTTCTACTTTTGAAATTTAGAAATTCCTAAGTTTCTCCTAAAAAAATTCTGAGACTGATCTCAAAATACTTGAGTCTTTTCCCCAAATTTGCAACTTCTAAAACTCCAAAATTTCCAGGCCTAGAAAATTTCTGAAATTAATCTGAAACGTTCTGAGTTTGTTCTCACAATTTTTTACTTTTGAAACATAGAAATTTACAAGTTTTACCTAAAAAAAAACATCTAAGGTTAATTGGAAAATTCTAAAAAAAAAAAAAACCTTTTCTTGCAAAAAATTTCTTTCGAAACTAATCTAAAAGTTTTTCCTCATAATTTTTTTTTACTTTTTGTAACTCAGAAATGTCCTTGTCTTTTTTCATTTCTTAGATTAACATCGACATCTCTAAGATTCTTGGTGGAAGTTTACTACTTTTTTTTTTCTGTTTACAATGGCTCAAATATCGTATGTTTCAGACCATCACAGGAGTCTTTGTTTATTAATTCGATTAAAAACATCTATCTAAATCATCCTGATCCAATTATAAAAAACAATTACCTCCACAAAATGTTATAAAAAAACAGAAAAGAATCAGAGTAATCTTCCCATGTAAAGGTAGACTACCAAAATTACTCCAAAAGTGCATCAACTCAGAAAAACTAACAATTGAAGAAGATTTTGTCTACATCTGAAAATTTAGCAAAAATACAATTCTTTTACTTGCCATCCATCTGTGGAACAATTTGATTAACAAAAATTAAGCTTGAATTATCCATTTACTGCAATGCGCCACAGTAAAGGGAAAAATAACGCAGAAAAATAATTGGAAAACAGTACAAAACCTCTCATATTCTTTTGTCTCGCTCTCTGTGTCAGCTACGCTACATGCAGCCACGTTGCTATAGCAACTGACTGACAACAGCTGACTGACAACTGATTTACTTCCATAACATCACAAGGTATTTTCTAATGATTAAGGTTAGGCTAAACCCGTTAACCATTATTTTAACTGATAAATTAAATCATCATTAAAATTTCTCAGGAAGTCTGAGACTAATTTTGTTTAATGATCTGAAACATTCCAGTTCGACATGGAAGCATATAGAGGAGAAATCTAAATGGGAGTTTTTGACCTCTCTGTAAATAAGTGAACAGGTGTTTGAACAGCTTTAGCTGCATGTTTCCATTTCTCCTGGCAGAGTCTGCTGCTCCAGATCGGCAAAGAAATGCTGGAGGAGGAGGCCCGGCAGGCCGAGGAGGAGAAAATGGCGTACATGAGGGAGAACTGCCCCACCTTCTCCTTCCCACAATGCACCCTGGAGCTCCAGGTAAACAAAATATTTTTTCAAAATAGAATTTTGAAATACCTGTACCTCCTTTTGTTTGTATCTTTAAATAATTTCCAACTTTGTACACACTCCATATTCATTAGTTAAATAAGCTAATGCAAGTAAGCTGCTAATAAGCTGCTAATGCAAGTTAAATTACTTGCATTAGCAGCTTATTAGCCAAATAACCTGATGCAACTGGTATTAATCTAAATTCCCAACATGCTGTGAATGTCAAAATAAAGATAATTGTTAACTCTTACTAAAAAGTTGGATTTAGGCATTAAAGTGTTTAACTTCTGACAATTAAATAAATAATCAGCACATTTTTCATGAACTTAACACCAAATAGTAGAAGACAACCCTAATCCTGTTTGTGCTTTTTAACCAATATTTGTACTGGCTGTTATTAGATATCTAAACAAGCAATGGCATAGATTATTCTGAGGATTGATCTTCTTACTTTTGGACCATAAAGCTCACTGTTGCTCTGTTTCACCAGGAGCTGTGTCGGCAACTTCACAAGCAGATCGATTTGGTGGATGAGGAACGATATGACATGGAGATGAAAGTGAAGAAATGCGACAAAGAGGTTTTTCTAGTTAATAAATTAATTTTTCTATATTAATAGAATAGCTTCATTATTTTTGAAAAAGTATACTTTTAATCATTTAGATTGCTAGGTTTAACATCATAATGCAATAAAATGGTCAAACCGGATAATTTAGATGGCTAAAATTTGGTTTAAAAGTGCCATCTGGACTGATTGTCAACACCTGAGTATTTATCTGTGCCAGATTGATGACCTGAAGATGAAGGTCCAGGATCTGAACGGCAGGTTTAAGAAGCCCACTCTGAGGAGGGTGAGGATGTCGGCCGATGCCATGTTGGCTGCCCTGCTGGGCTCCAAACATAAAGTGTCCCTAGATCTGAGAGCCAACCTGAAGCAGGTGAAAAAGGAGCTGAAAGAGGAGGTGAGTGCAGCAGATGCTAGCAACTTCAACAGAAAGACTGTTTATGACAGAACTGTGAAAGCTGTGTTTATGTTGCTGTCAGGAGAAGCAGACAGGTGACTGGAGGAAGAAAATCGAAGATAAAGCCGGGATGGACGGTAGAAAGAAGATGTTTGAGGCAGAGGCTTAAATAATATTGACCTCTATGTTTTTTAAAAAGGTAACACATTACAATAAAGACTTAATTGTACAACTAACTTCATTGATGATTTTTTTTAAAGTCCAATATTAAATTATTAATTTCCGTTGTCAAACAACATAGCTACAGAGATATTCAGAATTCTTTGGAGGGATGTCAAACTCCAGTCCTCAAGGGCCGCTGTCCTGCAGTGTTCAGATGTGCCACAGGTACAAAACACTGAAATGAAATGGCTTATAATTGGCTGCTTTCCGGGGTGATGGACATAAAAGCTGTTGAAGCGGACTTCCTGTGTTCCATCCTCTACTCATCTCCACCGGCCACACCTCTTTCTTTTGTTCATCTGTTGTCAGAGTTCTGGAGCGTAGGAGTGAGCTGCTGTTTGTTTTCTTAATTTTCTCATGTTTTTCTTAGGAAGGTAAATTTTTGTCTTTTGG